CGCCGCCTTCCGAGCAGGCCGCCGCCCCCCGCCTGCCCGGCGGACGTGCGGCGCGGCCCGCAGGCGGGCGCAGCCGCTGAGCTGGCCCGGCCCCATTGGCCCACGCGGAGCGCCTGCCGGCCCCGCCGACGGCTCCCCCGCCTCGGGCGCCCTCCCGCCCGCCCGCCCGCGGGTCGGTGGCCTGGACGGGAGGCCCGAAACGTCCCAAGCGCGCCGGTTTCCGCGGGGACGGTCCGGATGCTCCGCCGGGCCGAGGCGGCGAGCAAGCGGCTGCTTTGCGCAGCCTCTCTCCGACCGCCGAGCCTGTCCTGTTTGAGGGATATGGGGTGCTTCCCCCCAGAATGTGGCTGTTACTTTTTTTATTTCTACACCACCCAGTAGCCCAAGCTTTTTGGGCAGTTCGCAGCAAGTTCTCAAATACAAAAAAGAGATTAATAATAATCATGTATTGAAATTAAACCTGTCGCGGTTCGACAGACCCAGTATATGCTGTTAGGTGCCATTAAATGGGAGTAGAGGGCAGTTTTCACCTGGCACCACAAATATGAAAATGTGGGTGCTAGGTGGGTCTCAGTGGGGAGATCATTCCATAAGGGGAGTGCCATCCCTGAGAAGGCCCCCCCTTGTTGTCTCTCCAGGGTGGGGCTTCCTCGGAGTGGGCAGCCCACGGAAGGCCCCCGGTGCCCACTGCAGGGTCCAGGTGGAGAGGCGTCGGGAGAGGCGCTCCATCCGGACTTGTGGTCCCAAGCCATGCGGGGCTCCGGGGCTCCGCAGCATGTGGGCCGCCGATGCAAGTGGGCCAGAAGCAGAGCTGTCTGATCAGAAATTCTGGTCCCCCGTATCAGAAACAGCAGCTTCTGGACAGTCTTCAAGGGCAGCCCCAGGTCGTTAGCGCATCACAGTAGCCTAATGCAGAGATTGCTGGAGTGGAGAGTAGCAAATCTAGCCTGTCCCTGCCCAGATTTGGGGGGGGGGGGGCTGGGCCATGGGGACCCCCTGAGCCTCAGATGACAAAGGTGGATCCAGAAGCACCCCCAGCCTATGAACCTGCCCCCTCAGGGAGGGTGGAGCCCCGTCCAGCAGCATCCCAGTCTAGTCTGGGTGGAACTGGGGTTTAGGGACCCTCATGGTGCCCGCTGACACAACCAGGCGGCGGCTCAGCACAGCCCCAGCTCATGGGGGAGCGAGGGAGAAGAGGAGTGGGCGGTCCCTCTCGGTGGTTTCATGCGGCTTGGGGCACGAGCGACCCTGAAGAACCCCCTGCTGGAGAATACACAGAGCAGAACAGTGTTGCCCCAGTGCCACCAACCAAGGCGCGCAGCCCCTGGCGTGCGCTGCCCTCACTCCCGGCTCAGCCAGCTGCCCCAGAAGGGTCCCACAGCTGACGGCACCGAAGCCGCCGAGAGATCCAGAGGCATCAACCGGGCCACACTCCTCCATCTCCTGGCGTAGGTCATCCTCCAGCGTGATGGAAGCTGTTTACAGGTTCGAAAACCGGCCAAACCCCGCCTGAAATGAATCCAGTTACTCAGGTGCTGTTCAAGGGTGCCTGGAGCTGGCCGGCTACCAGCCACTCAAGGATCTTGCCCAGGCAGAGAACACTTTCCACTGGCCCGAAGCTCCAGGGAGGGCTTCTTCAGGGGTGCTCTTTCGGGCCACTGGGACCCCTCCTTCTCACAGTGTCCCCTTCCTCTCCTCCCTGGCCCAGCCAGTCTTGCCTTCCAGGCCGGCTTTTGTAAGCCCGGAGGGGCAAGGACCCACCTGGACAAACCTGTCCAAGCACTTTGTGGGCATCCTCAGGCCGTATCAGCTGAAACTCGCCCAATGACGCTGGACCAGGCTGAGCCCTGGGAACTGCTCCAGATTTGGCTGCTGTCAGACTAGCGACGAAGGCTTGGGAGATGCAAGAGATGCTTTTATCCTGGAAATGCCTAGCAAGCGCGTTGCAGCAGTCTTAGAGGGGTCTGCAGGGTGATAGGCCCCAGATGACCCCAGAAGTCTCCGTTGGGCACTGCGCAGAAGACTGAACAGAGGCAGTGAGAAGTTGTTTCTCTGCCGCTCTCCCCGCCCCTAAATATACCCAATTTCAGGCACATACCAGGGCTCGGTTGCCACCAGTAGTAGTTTTCCTCCAGCTGCTCTGAGGATGGACCTTCTCAAGGCGCCCCGAGCCCTTGCAGAGCGGAAAGGCTGCCGCCATGATCTGACCGTGAGAAAGGGACTGAATGGAAGCCCAGCACATTCAGACCACCATCCAGTACGGGGAGAAGAGGTCTGGGGTGCGCCCCAGCATGGCTGTGCGTGTGGGGCGGATGACTCTCGGGGGCCGGTCCCCTGGTGGCACAGAGTCCATGGAGCCCTGAGCTGCCCCAGACGGCGTCCTCAGCAGGAAGGTTGGCGTCCCGCAAAAGCCGCAGGCTGGGGCCTGCAGCATCACCCAAGCCCGGAATGGGGATCTGCTGCGCAGTGGGGTGGGCGGCACACCGCAGGACCCCTAACCTGTCCCACTCGCCCGGTGTGTGGGGCAAGTCTGGTGGCCAGGGAGCTGGAGAGGTCGGCAGAGTCTGTAGGCCCCCGCCCCTCACGCCTACCCCGATGCTGAGCCAACCCCTCCCTGTTCGCCCCCCACCCCCATCTTCAGTCATAGATGAGACAGGTCTTCTCTACTGATTTGGAATTCTGAAGCAGCACCTGGGGACCTGGTGAGGCAAGCGGGTGGGGTGGCCAGGGTTGGGAAAATCCAGATAAATCCTGGCAGAAAGGGGTTGCTAATATGTGCCTTTGTGTTATAAAAATACCTGCACCCCTTTCTCAGAAAGCAGCAGAATCCCAAGCCAGGTCACTGTTCAGTGCTGCTGTTACTTTAACAAGATGGAATTCTGGACTGCACTGAGAAGCTGCTGGAGGCTGCCACTATCAGAGAGGACGTGCCTGTGTTTTCATCCACGGCAGAAAAACGGAAACAAAGGTGTCCGTCTGTTTCTGAATGGACCCCCCTAAGCACTGCGGCCTTCGAATTGTGGTGCTGGCGGAGACTCCCGCGAGTCCCTTGGACCGCAAGACGATCAAACCGGTCAGTCCTAGAGGAGATCAACCCTGACTGCTCTTTAGAAGGCCAGATGCTGAAGATGAAACTCAAATACTCTGGCCACCTGATGAGAAGGAAGGACTCCCTGGAGAAGAGCCTGATGCTGGGAAGGATTGATGGCAAAAGGAGAAGGGGGCGGCAGAGGATGAGGGGGCTGGATGGGGTCACTGAAGCAGTTGGCGTGAGCTTGAGTGGACTCCGGGGGATGGTGGAGGACAGGAGGGCCTGGAGGAGTGTTGTCCATGGGGTAGCGATGGGTCGGACACGACTTCGCAACTAACAACAACAAAGAATCTAGTCCCACAGAGGCAAGCACCTGCGCAGTGCAGTTGTCAAACCAGATTTCCTGAATGGTTTAAACAGGATTCAAACTGCAGAAAAGTCTATTGAATTGACATGTCAATAAAGCAATCAGTAATGTTTTCCATACTATTGTTACCAGTATTTCTGGCACTGGTTTAGATACCAGTTTAGAACATTATGTCATGCCTAAGGACATCAGGTTGCTGTTATACTAACATAATCTGGAAACTTAATATTCTTTTATTGGTGTATGTGACTAGCAGGTTATAAAAATGTCTGTACATGGGCTGTGATTTTGTAGTTGGTGGGGAGAACCATGACCCGGTAGCGTGCTGTCGTAAGAAGCTGCAGGGGCCCTGGTGATCTTTCAATGAACTGCTGAGGTTCAAGGGGAAAGGGGCCTTTCCCGACTGAGCCCAGGTATCCCGTCTCGCGGCTGCCGTCGAGGCTTCCCGACAGCAGCCAGCCTGGAGGCGCAAGAGGGCAGAACAAGGTGCAGCCAGAAACCGTCTAGGCGGCATTCCGTTCCCCAGGTAGTCCTCCTTCCAGCACGGCGTCGCCCTCCACCCCTCCCAGTCCTGATGTTTCCCTCCAAGGTCCCTCCTCTTGGCTCAGGTCCCCCTCCCAGGCACACATTCAGGCTCGAGGGTGGGAACAGGCCCCCTGCGAGGGTCCGATCTTGCTGCCCTGCGCTACTGGGGGGTGGGGAGGCGCCCGGCCTCCCCAGGATCCGACCCACAGGGAAAAGCTGCGGGGCAAGTCCTTGGGTGCCTCGGTGCCTGCGGGGCGTGTGCAGGACAAACCCTCGGTGTTTCGCCTTGGGAAGGCTGCCTCGGGAAGCACCCCTCATGATCGATCGCTAAGCGCCTGGGCCTCGGTGCTGCCTAAGCAGAGTTTGTGTGGTCTTGGGTTCGCCCCAGTTCCTCGTTGCAACAGCTGAGGCGGAGCAAAGTGTCTGATGCATCTGGGTGTGTAGCTCATGGCTAATGTTATGGGGTGCTGGTATCCCCACTTGATTTATGGCCTGGCTTCCAGGAGGGACGGCCCGCAGTGGCTTAAGTCCACTGGGGAAGGTGGAATAAAAGGAACCCGCCCAGGGTGGCACAGCTTTTCCTGGGAGCCACACCAAAGGATTAGTCATACATGGAACAGTTTCCTTCCGGGAGGAGGCGACCACCCATGCTCCACGGTTGACTCAGGTGCTGTGCTGTATCTTCAGCAGCAGCTTTGAAGCAGGAGGAGGAGATGCGCTTGCTGAATCTGCTGAGGGCGCAACCTGGGAGGAACTTCAAATGCAGGACCAAGGGCCAAACTCACTGCTGGAGAAGCTCTCCGTGGCGGGTGGGGCCCAAGACCACCGGGGGGAGACGGGAATGCCCACCGGCTTGAGCTTGTGGTCGGTCTCCTTGTGAGCACCAAGGCCGGTCAAGCTTTTAGAATGGGAAAAAAGCAGCGCAAAAGCCAGCCAAGCAGCTGGTGCTGGGGGGAAGGGGAGCGGCTGTCGGAGGAACCCCAGAACACCGGATTTGGCCCCGGGCAAGTCCGAGGCCGGGCAGCTCTGCGCCCAATAATAGCATTTAATTCCGAAACAATTGTTACTCGTTCAAGCATTTGACAGCAGGAAGTTAAAGAAAATACAGACTCATGCAAAGTATTGCATTAGGAATGGAAACATACGAGCAAAACATGTTGGGTCACTGGAAGAACATGGGGCCATAAGCTCCGTGCTCAGCTGGCGTCTGTTTCATAATGGACTGGATGAGGGCCAAGAAGCTGCAACTCGGTCCAGGCAAGATGGAAGGGCTGTTGGATGATGCTCCGTCTGACGGATTAGACCGGGGCTCCTCAAACTTTTTCACGGGGGGGCCAGTTCAAAGCTGCCGGTGCTGGGCATGGGCCGGAAAGGTGGTGCCCGGTGGTGTGCGCGGGCCGGCGCGGGGGCAAGCACGTGCTGCGAGGCGGGCGCACGAGGCAGTGGCTTGCTCACGAAGAGGTTGTTCTCTCCGAGTGAGCAAACCGCTGCCTCCCGCACGCGGGGCGAGGTGGGCAGCGGCAGGCGTGCACATGGGTGCGCATGTGGCGGGTCCACATGCGCATGGTGGGCCAGATCCGGTCCCCGGGCCGTAGTTTGAGGACCCACGGATAAGACAGCCATTGTCCTGCCTTGGATGGGGTCGCACTTCCTCTGAAGGACCAGGTCAGGGGGACTCGGTGGCCCGGAGTGCTTTTTTCCAGCCACGAGGAGTATGACAACGATGGCCTTGTCTGGACAGACAGCCTGGCCACGGTTGCGCATGCGCTGGTAACATCCCAGCTGGATGACTGAAATGTGCTCTGCGTGGGGCTTTCTTTGAAGACGGTCTGGAGGCTTCAACTGGTCCAAAACAGGGTTGTGCATCTGGTGTCGTGCATCAGTTTGTGTGCCCATATAGCAACTATTCTGTATAAATTGCACGGGTTGCCAGTTGACCTAGGCTCAATTTAAAGGGCTTGTTTGAACATACAAAGCCTTACCTGGCTTGGGACCTGGCTGCTTGAAGGACTCCCTTTTCCCACAAACTCCTACCTGCTCATTGAGATCTGGGAATGAGGTCCTTCTGAAAGAGCCACCCCTAAGTAAAAGGGGTGGCAATTAGAAGAAGGGCCTTCTTGGTGGCTGCCCCCCACCTTTGGAACACGCTTCCTAAAGAGGTCCTCCTGCTGCTGTGACTACCTTCATTTCGGCACCAGGTAAAACTTTGCCCTTTCGCAGGTATTTCAAGACCTGATTTCACCAACGGATTGGAAGAGCTCACTCTGCTACCAGCAGCTCCCCCTGCCCCCGTCCCCTACTTGGAATTATAATGTTATCCTGAATTTTATTGTTGTTTGCCACTTAGAGAGCCCTGTCAAGCTATCCAGAGATCTATAAATTTGACAAATAAATAAATACATAAAATGGGGCTGCAGCCTCAGCATGTCCAGACTTTGATGTCTTAAATAGCATTCTAAAAGTGTTGTACTTGCAGAATGTGTTAAAGTGTTGTGCTCAGGATAGGAGGAAAAATGCCGCCCACTGGGCACTCACTCAGTGTGCCTCGAAGCCTCCACATTGGGCCTCTTGGAACGCTGGGAGAGCAGCGAACTAGAAGAGCCAGAAACAAAAAGGATAATTGAGTTGAGCATTGTCACTGCATGTATAGATTTTAGGTTGCATTGAACCAAAGAGTTTGTGAAAAGACTGGAAGAAAATGTTTGGATTATAGGACACTCCTCTTCATTCGAGGAGTTGAGCATTGTCACTGTATGTATAGATTTTAGGTTGCATTGAGCCAAAGAGTTTGTGAAAAGACTGGAAGAAAATGTTTGGATTATAGGACACGCTTCTTCATTCAGAGTAAAAGCAGATGTTCCGTGGCCAAGTTAACGGCTGATGCTCAGAGCAAGATGGCGGCCGGTCCCTGGACTGAGGCAGCATCAGACTCGGTGCATCATGTGCTCTGGTCTGATCTCTGGGAGGTGGGGAGGGAGGAATGCCAATCATGAACTCCAGGCCACTTGTGTCCACATCATGCCAACAGCTTCACCACCAGCCCCTTTGAGCTCAAGCCTTATGAAGCAAAAAGGGGCTGAGGAGCCGAAGAGAAGACACAGGAAGCCCGCACACGCTTGTCTGGGGCCGGGCAGCCGCCCCGTGCTCCCACAGAAGCGAGGGACTGGTGCCACCAGCCGAGATCCGAGCTGGCAGACATTTCTTGTGGGTTTTCCACTGGGGCATCTTGCTGTCCGCCGCGTGAGTCGAATGCCAGGCGAGGGGGCGTGTGGTCTGATCCAGCAGGATTCTTCTTGTGGGGTCCAGGCACCTGAAGAATTGCCTTCCCCTACTTTAGTGTGGATAATAATTTTATTTCTATACCGTCCAATAGCCAAAGCTCTCTCGGGGGTGTACAACAATTAATAACATACAGTGAAATATGATGGGAGATATAAGCAATGGTGAAAGCCCATAATATTTCCTTGAAAATGAAGCAATCTACAGATCAAAGGGAGGAGGGCTTTGTCATACAGCAGAGATGAACCATGCAACTCACTTCTACAGGATGTCATGATGGCTGTAGGAGAGGGTTGGGCAAATTCCTGGGGGGGAAGGCTGTCCATGGTTACTAGTCCTCATGACTCAGTGCTACCTCAGGATCAGAGGAAGCCCATTTAGCTGCACCCATTGCTGGGAAATGCGGGCAAGAGGGCTCTGCAGGCAGTCATGTCCCCCTCGGGAGATCCTGTGGCCGCTGGCTGGCTGCTGAGGGGACAGGATGTCAGAGTGGGTGGAGCTGCACCTGATCCCGCCTCAGCGCTCCTCCCGTGTCCAGGGATGATAATATACAATGAAATATGATGAGCTCTTCTCATCCTTCTCCACTAGGATGTCATTTCAAACCTGCAAAGAATACACATATCATTAGTCATTGTGGCGATGCTGCTATCTGTCCAGAAACAAGCCATGTGAGAGTATGATTTTATTTTAATTTTTATTTGAAGTATGATTTCTTTCTTTTTTTTGCCTGTCGCTTTTTGATTTTTTCTTTTATTGACAATCCTAAAAAATCACAAAGTTACATTATAATACAATCCGATAGTCAACTTATTATGCACACAATAGCTTCCAAAGCTTAAGGCTTAAGCTGACCAGCATTCCAGCCAGTTTCCAACTTGGTCTTCCGTATTGTCCGAGTCCCTATCACAGATAGTAGATGCCGTATTTTCATAAAATCATCTTGTTTTATTTCTGCTCCATATAGTCTAATCCAATGTGGCAATTTCTCCATCAATGCGACCATCCATATTCTGTTCCATGATGGTGGTGGTGGTGGTGGTGGTGGTGATGATGATGATGATGATGATGATGATGATGATGATGATGACGACGACGACGACGACTACATTCGCTATTTTCGGCCTCTGAACGCTTCCCCGCCGCCGCCTTCTCGACTTGCACGGGCGCCCGCAAGCGAGGCCGTTCCCCACCGAGCCGGCAGGGGGCGCGCTCGGCGGGCCCTTCTAGGCCGGGGCGAAGCATAGAGAGGGTGCGCCCGCCCACCGGGCCCTCCTTTCCCTGCGTCCCCCGCGCGGCGCCTGCGCACTGGGTCTCCCCGGCCCGGCGTCAGTCGCCTGCTGGTCATCATGGCGGAGCCCCGGGACAAGGCGCTGCAGGACTACCGCAAGAAGCTGCTGGAGCACAAGGAGATCGACGGGCGCCTCAAGGAGCGTGAGTGGCTCGGCGGGGCAAGGGCGGGGGGGGGGGCGGGGGGGGGGGGGGGGGGGGGGGGGGGGGCCGCGAAGGCGGGGGGGGGCGGGGGCCGGGCCTGCCCTTGCCTGCCCTGCCTCCTCCGTCCGGCCCCGTGGGCGCTTTGTCACGGCTGGGCCTTGGGAGGCTTTGGCATTCCGGCTCGACGACTCTGTCTGCTCGGCCTTCCCCAGGCTGGGCCTTCCGCGTGGGATGGACTACCAGCCCCGTCATCCCCAGCCAGCCTTGGCCTGCAAGTCCCATCCCCCCTGCGCCTCGACCAGCCTGTGTATGTAGCTCGAGACGTCGGGAGGGCCTTCCACTGCTTGATTTGCCTCTGTTCTGTCACACCGTTGCTGCAAACTGGAGGTTCTCCCTCCACTGTACTCCCTTGTGCTTCAGACATGTACTCTCACAACAACCCTTTGGGGTAGGCTAGGGCAACAGGTCGAAATGGAGGGAGTGACAGATTTTATTTTCCTGGGCTCCAAGATCACTGCAGATGGGGACTGCAGCCAAGAAATTAAAAGGCGCTTGCTCCTGGGGAGGAAAGCTGTGGCAAATCTAGACAGCATACTAAAAAGCAGAGACATCGCCCTGCCAACAAAAGTGCATATAGTCAAGGCTGTGGTTTTCCCAGTTGCAATGTATGGCTGTGAAAGTTGGAACATAAGGAAGGCTGAGTGCTGGAGGATTGGGGCCTTTGAATTGTGGTGCTGGAGGAGACTCCTGCGAGTCCCTTGGACCACAAGGCGATCAAACCGGTCAGTCGTAGAGAAGATCAACCCTGACTGCTCTTTAGAAGGCCAGATCCTGAAGATGAAACTCAAATCCTTTGGCCACCTAATGAGAAGGAAGGACTTCCTGGAGAAGAGCCTGATGCTGGGAACAATAGACGGCAAAAGAAGGGGACGGCAGAGGATGAGGGGGCTGGATGGGGTCACTGGGGCAGTTGGTGTGAGCTTGAGTGGACTCCAGGGGATGGTGGAGGACAGGAAGGCCTGGAGGAATGTCGTCCATGGGGTCGCGATGGGTCGGATGCAACTTCGTGACTAACAACAACAATCTGGAGATGTCAGAAATTGAACTCGGGACCTGCTGTGTTTGGAGCAGGGCATCTATCACTCCATGGCATCCCTCTCTGTCTCATATATGTTACTGCCCTTCTTGCCCTCTGTGTATTCCCCTCATCTGCAAAAAGCCACAAATGCTTGTGGAGTGATACATCTTTTACGGCGTTATGAACTACATATGAGTGGAGCATTCGACACTCTGTTTTCCTGACTATTATTGAAAACAATGAAACGAGAAGGCACTTATGTATAAAAAAAAGGAAAGCAAAAAATCTTAGGTGCTTGGAAAGAATATTTATTTTTTTCCAGTGTGTTTCAGAAACAATCTTTTTCCTTCATCGGAGCTGCTTATTATTTTTCTAGACATGTTAAGAACCCTTTCAATATCTCTTCTGTTTTGAATGGTCCAACAAAGGTCAACCAGGTGCCTTTCAGAAACCTAGAAGAAAACAGTAGCCTTCCCTCATGGTTTGTCCTAGGCATCTAGCTTTGAGGTGTGCTGTCTAGATACAAAGTTCTATGTCATTTACATGGGAAAATAACCAGTAAATTGGATTTCCTTCAAGAATTTGTCAGTTCCCCCTTTAAAAGCCTCTTTATATGATAACTCCTGAGAATGGAGACTGAGGCTGAAACTGGAATGGTCAGAAAAGGAGAAATACATATGAGGACAGCTCCCTCCCCACACATGTACAAATGGCTGCAATAGTTTCTGGAAGAGAAAAGGGGGATAAATAAGAGGAAAAGAAGTGGTGAAACACCTAACAATAGCATGCACAGACATCCGATACAGGCAATAGCCACAGCAGGAAATGAGTGGGTTTGCCTAAAGCCGTACAGGTTAGCACTGCATTCATGTTCTTGAAGGCCTCTGCTTTAAGCCTCTTCTTTGAAAGCTTATAGTGAATGGGGTGAGCTATTTTCCTTGGTGGGTAGCAGTTGTCTTTTTCTTTTTCCCCATGACATTCAGAAGAGCTTTCAATCTGATTCTGTATGTGGTTACTTAGTGAGACGTCTTCCTTCAGTGGAAGGCTCACGTACATGTGCACCGGATTGCAGTGTGTCAAAGCATCTGTGGGAATTGTTACGCTAGGCCTATTCTGACTAAAAAGATGCATGTATGAAGAAGTATATTTTCTAAACTGCCATGGGGAATTTATTCAAGCAAAGTGCTTTCTGTTTCTTTTGTTTTCCTTTTGTGGAGAGGGCTGGGAGAAGAGAGTAAATATACGTATTTAACATGCCAGCACTTTAAATAATGCCATTGCTTTTGTAGTAAGGGAGCAGCTGAAGGAGCTTACCAAGCAGTATGAAAAATCTGAAAATGACCTCAAGGCTCTGCAAAGCGTTGGGCAGGTGAGTGTTCCTGCAGGGCAGCAGCAGGGGGGAATGCTGTTGTGGGCACACTCTGAGTCTTTAATCACGGTCCAAGATAGGCCGTGTTCTTGGCTTGGTGGGTCTGATAGTTTTCCACTTTATTTTTTAGATTGTTGGTGAAGTTCTTAAACAGTTAACAGAAGAGAAATGTAAGTGCCCTGATGTGATATCTGACTTGACTAACATTTAAACTGGCAACATGAAAATAATTTATTGGAATTAAGCCAAGACTGAATAGCATAGCAATAACAGTAGTTACAGTGCTGTAAAAGTATTTTAGGAAGATTTCTTTTTGTTGCCCGAAAAGTAGGTGCCGTATAGAGTAAATCATTGTTCTTTCTTTTGCTGCTTCTAGTCATTGTCAAAGCGACAAATGGGCCAAGATACGTTGTTGGCTGCCGTCGTCAGGTGAGCCTCTTGCTTTGAGTGCTGGTGTGCTGGACTCTCACGTGGGAAATAAATTTCGCTTTAAAGCCTGAACATCTGCCTCTTTCTGCCTCCAGCTCGATAAAAGTAAACTAAAGCCTGGAACAAGAGTTGCGCTGGACATGACAACCCTGACAATTATGAGGTGGGTTCCTGCTACGGGGGGAGAAGGGGGCAGGTGGGAGTAGGCAGAGCAGCCTTCCTCGTGCGCTGGGACCGCAGCTCCCCACACCCCCATCCAGATGCCCCTGATCTGGAGACAAGCGAGTGCGCGGGGACCGCCTGAACGGGACTCTGAGGGAGACGCTCAGCCCTCACGGGACACTGTATTGGCGACCCCCACCCTGAGCGGTGGTTTGAGTGCCAGCTTCTCCTCTGGGAAAGCCTGGGATCGGTCATGAGTCTGGCCCTGCACAGTTACGTGTGGTTTCCAAGAAGCTGCAGTTGCTAGATGAGGGACTGGAGCACAGTGGATTGAAAAAGCTGCATCGCCTCTCCAATTTTAGATACTTGCCAAGAGAAGTCGACCCCTTGGTTTACAACATGTCTCATGAAGATCCTGGAGATGTCTCTTACTCGGAGATTGGTGGATTGTCAGAACAAATCAGGGAACTGAGAGAGGTAGTCGTCTGTTTTGTCGTCATGGAACTGTGTAATGGGCACAATTGCATTGGTCATATCCTTGAAGTAGAGAAGGCATTTGAATCTTTTGTACAGTTTGGATGTGATGGTACTGATCCTTAACCCCAGTCGTTCCCCAACTGGGCCTTCCAGGACTTGTTGGAGTACAGCTCCCAGAATTCCCCAGGCTGGGGGGATTCTGGGAGCTGTGCTCCAACAGACCTGGAAGGTCCAGGGTGAAGAAGGCTGCTCTGCACCTTGGTGTAGGAGGGGACTGCAAGCCATCTGTGGCTCTGTGCACCTCTTCCCCCTCACACGCTGATCCCCCCCCTTTCCTTCTCACCCAGAGCAGGGCAGCCTCTGGCATACGGGCCTAATCTGGCCCACATTGGCTGCCCGTGTGGATTCCTTCAAGCCCCACCTGCTGCAGAAATTCCCACTGTTCTCACTCATCAGGTATAGCTGAGGATGGCTGGGGGACTCCCAGCACCTTCCCCACTGGGAAGTGCCCAACGCAGGTTGGGGGCTAGGTGGGAATCCTCTGGACGCATCCCCTGGGGATGCGCTTTGCTGGACATAAGCTGCCTCCCGTGGGAGCAGGGCTAGCGACTCTGACGCTGCCGCCCCCAGGAGAGGGTGTGAGGAGGGCAGAGCTGCCCAGCTGAGGAGGCAGCCGCAGGAGGAGCCCTCCAGCCACAGCTGAGCGCCTTAAGGTCGGCCTTTGGGGCAGCTTCCCCAGTGGCTTGGGGAATGTCCGGCGAGAAAGTACCAAATCTGGGAAGCTGCAAAGTTTGTTTACACGGCCCATCGGGAGTTTATCAGTCTAGTCAGTTGAGTAGCTGTCTTTGTCCAGAAGGGAGTCAGAGGCAGAACTAGCTGAATGATGAAATTCTGCTCAATTGTTTCCAGCAACGTGCTCAGTTCTAAAAACTGCATCCCTGCGTGTCCTTGCTTGGGAGTAAGCTCCACTTCCGTTTCCTCCCCTCCCCGCTGTGTGCCCCCAAAACTTGCTGTGGACAGTCCCCTTTTTCTCTGGAACAGATTTTGAGGGAACACGGGAGGGGGTGGCAGGCAATTACCTCCCCTTGTTCTGCTGGCCAAATGTGTGAAGTAAATCTTCTGTTCTGAATCCCAGTCATATTTGGTTGTTCCTCCTTTTCACAGGTCATAGAGCTACCCCTGACAAATCCAGAATTGTTCCAGCGTGTGGGGATCATACCACCCAAGGGCTGCTTGCTGTACGGTCCCCCAGGTTGGTCCCCCCGTGTGCATGTGTGGTAGCCCTCCCCGAATCGTTTTGTTGCTTGGGATGTTTCATTTTAGACGGCCTGTTCATTTTTTGCTCCAAGAGACCCCTAGTGGGGTATCAAGAAGCTTAGTGGGGAAATACTGAAGTTTCTTGGTGCAGGGATGACCTTTGAGACATCTGTGTGTCTGCACTTGTTCTCGCCTGGTAAAAGGGGGTATCATATAGGGTTCTTTGAATCCCTTCTGGAATACTGTTTTAATCCATTTTTATTTTTATGTCCCTATCATGTTTGCATCTTGCCCCTTTTCCCATGAGCTCGCTAAAGAAAATGTCTCTTTCTCTGTCCCTCCTGCATTTTATCCTCCGAAAAGCTGGGGTAAACCAGACTGAGAGAAACGTATGATTTTCCCAAACCGCTTCCATGTCTGGGCGAGAATTTGAACCCAGTTCTCCCTGTGTCCACTATGCCAAGCCACACGTTTAAGTGTGTGTATGTATCTGTCACGTCGGTGCTCTGTTTCTCGAACTGTCCTTTGCGTATTTTCTGTCCAGGTACAGGGAAAACGCTCCTAGCCAGAGCTGTTGCCAGCCAGCTGGACTGCAATTTCCTAAAGGTAAGACAGTAGCCTTTCTCACGTCAAATCTCGTCCGGTGGACCCCCAGCCAGCGCTCACGTTGCCCGCCGTCGTTCCCAGGTGGTGTCCAGCTCCATCGTCGACAAGTACATTGGCGAAAGCGCTCGGCTGATCAGAGAAATGTTCAACTACGCCAGGGACCACCAGCCCTGCATCATCTTCATGGATGAGATTGATGCTATTGGTAAGGCTGGGGGATTCGTGGGGCCTGTGAGCACACCTTGTTTCCTTGCCCACAGAATTCCTGGCTTCCTCCCCAGGAGCAGCATCCCTCTTCCCTAAGCATTGGAAAGAGTGACTGTGTTGGGAGGAACAGGGATCAAGACTGGGAGATGCCGGAGGGGGTGCCGTGCTCCTGCATCACACCGAAATTAAGACTGCCCTGGTCCCTGCTGCAACACCAGGAACTGGGGGACACAATGTCACACGCTCTGCTCTGCTGGCAGACTCCCCACTGGGACTTCTGCATGGCCCCCCGTGTGGGCAGGAAGCTGGACCGGTAGGCGTTTTGCTCAGGCCAGCAGAGTGTCCTCCTGACCGTGTCTTCCGTAAAGATCCCTTCTTGTGAGAGGAGCTTTCATGCGTGCTGGCTGGGATGTAACTGAAAGCAACCAGCTGAAGGTACAGCTGAGCTACTCTTGCATAAATGCCCTCACAAGTTGGCAGCCAGAAGTTCCTCTGGAAGGGAATCTCATTTTCAGAAGCCCAGTGCATACATGACAACCCTTACTCTGCCTGGCTTCAAAGCCAAACTCCTATGTTTAGCTTTCACCTTGATTTTCAAATCACGCCCGTCCGGTTTGAACACGCTGCCTGGCTTCAGCAAAACGCTGACTGCCTTTCTATCATGTTTTCTAGGTGGTCGTCGTTTTTCAGAAGGCACTTCAGCTGACAGAGAAATACAGAGGACACTAATGGAGGTAAAGTTTCTTTGCATTCGGACTCCCTGCCCCACACGTTTTAGTCCCAGGCAGCCAAGCAAAAATAAGAGACCGATGTATGTTAAGATAGTGCACCTTTCCCTAGTTTCAAAGTGCCATTTTCAACTCTGGCTTCAAGTAGTGCAGGCTGGAATTACAGAAATGGAGATATGATTAGGTGAATTAAAACAAAACTGGCAATTCTTTCGGTCAAAGAGCTCCTGAAGACTGCACTCTTTGATCAGTTTGTTTAAGGGCTAGTGCATGCAGTCAAATGATCGCACTGCCTGAACATGCATGTTTGTCGAACCTCTCGTTTTCACTATGACTCCTGCAGATGAAGGCTTTTGCCTGTCTCAGCCAAGACCAGAACCTCCACAAAGTGAACAACTCTCTGCATAAGCAAATGATGCACAACCCGATCAAGGCTAAAGTTTTTATAGATGCTCTTTCTGAGTCCCTGAAAGCCACAATTCTTGCAGGCTGGAAGGCCGTGTCTCTGACCCTGGGTTCCATGTATATGGCAAGGGCTGCGCTTTTGCTGTGTGCTTTTCGAGCAACTTCCTGGGCTGAGCGCTCACCCTCAGAAAACACCCAAGTTAGGAAGCCTTCTGTTTACTTGTCGCATGTTGCAGTTACTGAATCAAATGGATGGATTTGACACTCTGCATCGAGTTAAAATGATCATGGCTACGAACAGACCAGACACCCTGGATCCAGCATTGTTGCGCCCCGGAAGGCTGGACAGGAAAATCCGTGAGTAGCATTGTTCACGTCAGAGTAATTCTGTGCCTTCCTCACTGGCAAAAATGATATTATTTTCTGCAAGTTTTACTAAGTTCTCCACAGTGAATCAGTTGATCATAATTTCTTTGCATCCTGGAAGATCCTCTGAATATTGTTTTCCTTTCTGATACAGACAGATGTTTGCCGAGAAGAATGGAAATATGGTTTGAAATAGGATCTGGTTAGAATAATCTTGGGTTTTTGTATTAAGTTTGTATTTGATATGTACCCTCCCTTTTCACTAAGAAAATAATATGCAAGGCTGTCATTAAGTGTTTAATAAAAAGATACTTGAACTATATTTTTGGATTTTACTGTGGTAAGTTAAGTGATGTTTCTGAATCTTATTTTTCCATGTTAATTATCTTATTGTGATGTCAGCACAATTCATTCTGGATCAAGACGTTGATTGGCAGTAATTAAGAGAGAGCTTTCCCTTCCTGTCTAGATATTGACTTGCCAAATGAACAAGCCAGGCTGGACATACTGAAGATTCATGCTGGGCCTATTACTAAACATGGAGAAATAGGCAAGTTCCCCATGGGTCATGAATGCCTCTTAGGATTACCTGCTGCTTTCCATGCTTTGGTCCATCCACGCTTAATGAAAGGGATGCCAAGCCGCCGCTGGGTTGGGCTAACGACTGTCATGTGGGATGCCCCATTGATTCATTGCCTCCCCCTCCCAGCCCTCCACTGGATGGGGCTGCTCCCTGAGCAGGCATTGCTTTAGATCGGAGGAGCAGCGCCTCAGACCAGGGCCCCAGCCTGCGCCCCGTTTCCCCCAACCACTGATCACTCGGAGGTTCTCCCAGGTGTCGTGCAGCGTTTGACCCATTGTAAAAAGCGGGAATATCTTCCCCGATGCTTAGTTAATATCGGGAAGACATTTAAGCCCGTTTGGGGCGGGGGTTGCCCTGTTCCTTTTGTCTTGGCCCCATCTACCATGAAGCGCAGCCCCCAAGAGCGTCTCCACAGTGGAATTCGGCCCTCGGGCAACGGATTCAACACCCTGCTCTCGAGGCGGACCATGCATTTCACTGGCCTCCCTCGGCTGACTCCCCAGCCTCGAAGGTGGGCCTTGGCCGTGGCCACTCACACCCTCATTTCCACAGAGGCGATCCGGCATAGGCAAGGAGGGGCCTATCCGCCTTTGAAAAGTGTGCGGATACTTGAGTCGATTCGCAGTGCCGCTGCCAGATGCTGGCCGGGACGGTCACTCCTGGGCAAGCCATTCGGCACCTGAGGCTTGGCTTTGCATTCCTCAGACCAACGGGTTCGGGGAGCAGCCACCAAGAGCAGCCTTTCTGGCTGCCCGAGGCCCGGCAGGGATCAGCGTGAATGGGTGGGCTGAGCCTCCTCCCCCGCCAGCCCCCTGCATGGCCCCATTCTCCCTCTCAGGGGTCTTTCCATTCCTGGAGAGTTCTTCCCCCACCAGCTGCAAGTGGCGGGATAGGGGCTCGGCCCTTGGCCGTTTGAGCGCTGAGGTCGGAGGCCCTTGGTGCTGAGGCCCGGAAGCACCCTGTGCCTCTGCCTCCCCGCACCCGCGGCGATGTTGGAAAAGCACAGGCGCATGCCCTTAGCCAGCTCCCTTGTGCATCACACCACAGCCATGCGCATTCATGTGCAGTAGTTCTGGAAGAGTGAAGCTGGCTGGGCCAACAGAATGCTGTCATTGGCCTGGTGGAAAATAGGGTAGGCAGGTTGTGGCCCCTGCTGTAGTTTCCTCTGCACATGTTCAGAGTCCTGTCTGAGTGGCATGGAAAGCAAGGATTTGTATCCCATCTCAGCCCTGTGTAGAATAGACCCATTGAAATGACTGGGACCTCAGTCAGTCATGACTTGATGGCTTTGCTCTTTGCATAACTGTCACCGCATAAAACCCAGAGAGGTCTAGGTTTTGCAGCGGTTGCTGCTTGCAGTTCAAAGTCCTGATTAACTCAGCAATGTGTGTCTTCTCCACTAGATTACGAAGCAATTGTGAAACTTTCCGATGGCTTTAATGGGGCTGACCTGAGAAATGTTTGTACTGAGGCAGGTAAGGCGATCCTCTGGCACTGCTTTCTGCTTTCCCTTATCCCTTGGCTTTAAAGAATAGCGACTCATTTTCAGCACCTGTGAAAATAAGGCATCCTGCGACATGGAAGGCCGTGGTGTACAGCCTGACCTTTATCTTGTAGACAGATTTTTGCATGTTTGCAGGTCCTGTCTCATGAGTACTCCTGTAATAGTTTGGATAGGAAGCGTCCTTTACTTTCTTAAATCTCCTGCTCTTCCTCTTAGTATGCAACACTGCCAGCAGGAATTTAATTCCAATCTTACTAATTCCCTTCTTCCACAGTATTGTGCCCAAGCTACAAGGCTCCTTCATCAGACACTAGAGAATAAAACCCTGGTGTTCTAACAGCCTGTGATTCTGGATTAACAATAAACAAAGTAAAACTTTATCTATACAAGAAGCATATTGGTTTCAAGATGTTCAGTAACTTCCTTCCTTAGTTTAAAAATCAGTATATATTAGTAATATCTGAGTTATTGCACTCTGCCCTTTCACAGATACTCCTCACTCTCAAATCCTTTCTCTTCCGAACGCAGTTTGACCAGTCTTTATTCTATTTATCTCAGTTTAACATTTCCCTTGGGCACTCAGGTTTCTGTCAGCTGCTATTTCTCACTCCCTTATAATACTCTACAATATTTGATCTTGTCTCTTCCTAATCACTAACACATCCTCCAAGTATTCTGCTTCCTTCTTCAGAATCTTAAATGCCTTCCACAACACAATCTGGGATCCTAAAGGCTGATCTTCAGATTCTGCTGTCTGACCACAACTTGCAGGCCAACAATATCTGTTTCTCTCTCCTGAGATATTTCTAAGCTCCACTCACACGCTCTCAGTCACCAGCTTATCACCTCATTCATTCCGCCCCCCCTTCTGCCCCCCTTCCCTTCTGAAACTTGAAGTTGTTGCACCCTGAACTGTGACCATGTTGTTGCCGCCAAATTTAGAGCGAAACAGAGCCACGAAACAGGCTGCCGTTGCACATCTCCAATTTCCCCCCGTCACACCTTGCTTCTTGAACTGTCTCTGCAGGCATGTTTGCCATTCGCGCTGATCATGACTTCGTCGTTCAGGAGGACTTCATGAAGGCTGTTAGGAAAGTTGCCGATTCTAAGAAGCTGGAATCCAAGCTGGACTACAAACCTGTGTAGATGCCAGGGTGGGTCATGGGTGACTGTGAGTGCATGGGGAAAGTGGAGCTTCGTAGGCGAAATGTGACACAAACGTTCCCCCTTGATTGTGTTCCTATTGCAAGCATTGTCTGTATTACACCGGGCAAGGTGTCCAGCTGTTACTGCTAGTGATGAGTCTGCTGGAGAGAGTGTGGAATTCTGAAAGCAAGGCTGTCTCCGTTAAACCCCAGCCAAGTGCGGAGTGAAACGTGCTCCGATGACTTTATAAAATGTACCAGGTTTATTCCTTTTGGTGGATTTTAAGACGGTGTTTTTCTTATTTTGTATAATGTTTTCTTCCCTTAAAAAGGCAAATAAAACTTGATTTCCTCAGTATGCGTTTCTCAAATTTACTACAGAGCACAGTGGGTAATGGCCTGAGATGGTCAAAGACTTCAGCTTGCAGGATCTTGCTCAAATCCAGAAAATCCTCGCTTTCGTTGAAGCAGGGTTCAAACATTGCACGGGTGCTTGTTACATGGAGCCACTGTATCATACATCATTTCTTCACTGAGCGACTGCAATCTGTGATTTATTTCGCAGGCGATAGATACCCTCCATTAGATCAGCAAGAATTCAGATGGATGCTTTTAGGATCAGATGGGAGTCAACAAACACTGCTTGGATGAGGAAAAATACTGGATGGAATCTAATCTGGAACTTTCTTGTTTAGAAGTATTTATTTATTTATTAAAACATTTTTATGCCGCCCCATTCGCCAAAGCCTCAGGGCGGCTCACAACCATAAATAAAACCACATAAATTAAAATATACATATTAGAATGGTAATAATAATTTAAAATACAATATACACACAATATAAAATAAGCCGCCCTGGCCAGTTAAAATTCAGTAGTATTAACATTTAAAATGTTGCTTAAATAAAAAGGTCTTTGCCTGGCGCCGAAAAACAAATAACGACGGCGCCAGGCGGACCTCTCTGGGGAGCGCATTCCATAACTTAGGCGCCACTGCTGAGAAAGCCCTCCTCCGAGTAGCCACCCTCCTAATTTCTCTCACGGAGGAGTAGACAAAGTTCTAATGTGCCAGGCACCTAGTTGGGCTTGTTTAACTCTTGGTGAGTTTGCAAACTAAGTCACTGTTGTGGAGAACTGTTTAAAACTACCACTGCCTCTCCTGTCCCCATGTGACTTCATTATGTGGAGGTTCTGGAGTGTGCCATAACAGAATTGGTCTTGAAAGGAGGGTTACTGCATAGCCTGCAGAGATATATAAACCTGATGTCTTTGGAATTCCTCAAAGTCTTCTAAAAATAGAATGCAGAAGAATTCAGCCTGTTGGATGTTCAGAATAAAATGAGGGGGTGGTAGGGCAATCGGGGCGGTAGGATACTGGAAGTCAGAAAAGTTAGGAAGAAGGCAAACATTAACATCTTCAGTTCCGTATCCGATTTGAGTGTATAATTCTGTTTCCTGTACGTACGTATGTATGTATGTATTTAAACAACTTATATGCCGTCCCATCGCATGAGCCTCAGGTGGCTTACAATCATTAAAATTGCATATAAAATACAAAAAATTCATAAATAAATACAAAAGATAAAATAGAATAGTGGATCCGGCCTGGTCAAATAAACCATTAACAATTAAAATAGCGTTTAAATAAAAAGGTCTTGGCCTGGCGCCGAAAAACTAAGGACGGTGCCAGGCGGACCTCTCTGGAGAGCGCATTCCATAGGTTGGGCGCCACTGCAAAGAAGCCTCCCCCAATCCTACTTGATGTGTTGGGCTACAATGTCACCTCCTGCAAAGGATTATGGGAATTGTAGTCCACATCTCGAGCCTATCATGCTCGGGGAGGCTGGAGTAGAAAATACTGCACTAGCACGTCTCTCTAGTCCTCTCACTGGCGAGTCTGCAGTACTGATGCAGGAAAGAGAGATCTTAATATTTTAAACAGCTTCTCATTGCCTGTCAGGTCAAAGTCCTCAGATGGAAGTTTATGAGCAGCTATTTCAAAACAGTAAAATAACTGCACCGTGAAAGACTGAACAGCAGGTAACAAACCAGTAGCCAGCATGGAAGCATTCAGGGAAAAGCCAAATAAAACAAGTCTTTGGGATCTGTTTAAAAACACCCAGAGAGAGGCCTTGAGGGCAGATCTCTGAGAAGGGAATCCCACAAATATTAAGCCGCCACGGCAAAAGCCTCGCCACCTCGATCTTTCCACAGAAGTAGGTCTTCCGTGGCCAGGCTTAAGGCTAGCCAGGTTCATAGGTGCTGGTTGTCCCGTGTTTTGGATTTTAACAGTAAAATACAGGACTTCAAACAGGTAATAAATCGAGGGAGGGTGGCGGCAAATCGTCTAGGTCCATCTTTAGCCAGCAGTGTGCCGCTTTTGTGCCACCTGGAGTTTCTGAGCTGCCTCCAACTATGCCTCTGTGTTAATCTCGGGAGCATCACCATGGTGGCCCAGCCTTGCGACCGAGGCCTGAGGCCAGGTCTACCTTTCTTTAGATAGGGGTGCAGCTAAGCTGGTGTCGACCAAAGCTTGCCCAGAGCGCTTGCCATGCAGGCGAGCTGCACTTCCGTATGTGGAGAGCACGATAGGATAAATAAGGATGTTTGTGCATCGGAGACCCGAGAGGAAGTCCGTTACCCTCGATGTGTGAAGCTCTACAAAGAAGACTTTTCTGGGCCACTACTCTTCAGATAAGCTTCCTCACCAATAAGCTGCACTTCCTCTTGCAGAGACACTTCTAAAGCCCGCTCTTTATCCTTAAGCACATACTTGAAATGCAGAGGAATCTTCCTTTCTTGAAGACTTGAACACTGGGCTTTAGTTAGCCGAGGTCCAGAACACAGTGGCAGCAATGGCGGCTGCGATTTAAATGCTTGAAACGTGAGTGGTAAAAACCTACGAAGCAAAAGGGAGACGAGAAAGCACCGCAAATATCACTGCACTCGCTGACTGGCAGCCATCCAGCCTGTGGGCCATGAATGACCCACATAGGAGCCTCAGTGTGCATGCAAACTGACGCATGATTGGAAAAGGACAAGCGGAAGATGCGATGCCTTCCGTTTTCACAACACCGGGCAGTTGTTCTCAAGCTGGGAACTGGAAAGGGTGGAGCCAGGCTCAAGCTGCAATAAAGATTCTTTATTATGTTTCTGTATGTACAGTAGCTGGGCAATTTGCTGCAATTAGGAACATAAATACAAGGTCAAAATACAAGGTGGAAATTTAGATTTGTGAAACTGTTTGCTTAGCTGCAAAGCCGTGCCCAACCCACCGCAACCCCATGGACAACATTCCTCCAGGCTCTCCTGTCCTCCACCATTCCTTGGAGTCTTCCCAAGCCCTCACCCACCACCCCAGTGACTCCATCCAGCCACCTCATCCCCTGCCACCCCCTTCTCCTTTTGCCGTCAACTGTTCCCAGTATTAGGCTTTTCTCCAAGGAGTCCTTCCTTCTCATTAGGTGGCCAAAGGATTTGAGTTTCATCTTCAGTGTCTGGCCTTCCAAAGAGCAGCCAGGGTTGATCTCCTCTAGGACTGACCGGTTTGATCGCCTTGCGGTCCAAGGGACTCGCAGGAGTCTCCTCCAGCACCACAGTTCAAAGGCCTCATTATGAAATATAATTAAAATCAAAGCAAGACCTAGCAGCAGTACAAGGAGTTAAAGTGGAGTACATGTTTTAAAACAGACTAAAATTGCTAGGAAAATAAGGTTTTTATCTGGCACAGTGCAGCTGCCGGGCAAGCGTCCCTGGGAAGTTAGTTCCGTGGCTGAGGTGCCAAAGCAGGAAAGGCCATTCTCTTCACTGCCCCCCACCTGGGTCCCCTTGGCAGGGCCTCCTGCGGAAGGACCACAAAGGATGTTCTTGGGGTCTGGGCAGGTATATATGGGAGATGGCGGTCTTTCCAGTGGCCTGACCCCAAGCCATTTAAGGGCTTTGAATGTGAATGCCCACACTTCCTACTGGACCTGGACAGAGACTGGAAGCCAGTGCAGATAGAATGGTCCTGGCCTAGATGTTACCTTTGCAGTCTGTCTGTCTGCCTGCCTGCCTGTATGGATTTAGACATTTTGTATGCTGTCCCCTCACAGGAGCCTCGGGATGGCGTACGACGTCTCTGCAACAACCTTTACAGGCAAGTCCCCGTGCTGCAAGGGGTGGGGGCAAGGTGCTAAGAGTTGGGCTGAGAGTGCCTTGCCTAAGACCACCTAGTGAATGCAGGGCTGATGTAACATTTGAATCTTGTTTTTTCTGGTCTTCCATCCAGTCACTTCATCCCTTTCAATAGCTCTTGGGACGTGCTTTATGGATATAAGAATATCAGAAGAGCGCAGTTGGATTGGACCAAGGTCCGTCTTGTCCAGCATTCTGTTCACACAGTGGCCCAAAGAAAGCAGGGCACAGGTGCAACAGCACCCTCACACCCATGTTCCCCAGCAACTGGTGTACACAGGCACACTGGCTCCGATTCAGGAGCTCACATTCCTCCATCGGAACTAATAGCCATGGATTGCCTTCCCCTCCTCCATGAACTTGTCCAGCCCCTTCCGAAGCCGCCCAGACGGGTGGCCAGCACCGCGTCCTGGGGCAGGAAATTCCACCGGTGAGCCACGTGCTGTGTGCAGAAATCCAAATTCTCCCTTTCATCTGTCCTGGCTCACCCACCAGTCAGCTTCACGGGATGATTCTGGGCTTTAGTAGTATTAGATTTATTCCCCAAAAGTGGCACTTGGTTTTCCTTCTCCACTTTCTTTAGAACTTCAAGTACCTCTATGCCTTTGCTTCTTTTTTACGAGTCAATGAAACAGTGCCAGCTATTGTAACCTTTCCTTGAAGGGGAGCTGCTCTGGCCGCTTGATCGTTCATTAATTCATGCATTTATAGGCTGCCTATAACTGCCGAAGCCTTCCTCAGTTGCCGTTTCGTGCACTTTCCCCAACTCTACGGCTTCCCTTCTTTTGGTGTGGCAGTGTTGACTCTAAAAAAGTCGTAGGATTTTAAGAAGCTGTGAATTAGCAAATCCTCACACACAGCTGACAGGTCTCTGGGCCTTGCCCAAATGAGAAGCAACATTGGTACGGAGGAATCTTTAATTGGTCTGGCATCGGTTAGCAGCATAAGGAACGATCTGGGTTACACTCAACTCTTCCTTACCAGAAATGAAAACAATCCAATTCTTTGATTCATGCAGGGCAAACCAAGTTACAAATTCTTACTGCATCGGTAAGTAACTAAAATCCAAAATCTCCATCTGACACATACACTTGGTCTTGCATGTTCTCTTAAAGTGCAACATTTTCGTCTCTGCAATGGATAAGAATTTGCCTGGCATTTGTGAAGGCAAGGGAGTAAATT